AGAAGGCTTTTGGCACAGCTTTGAACCTTAGTACGACATTTCACCCTCAGACCGATGGCCAGTCTGAGAGGGTGATACAGATTGTCGAGGATATGATGCGAGCTTGTGTGATCGACTTTGGAGAAGATTGGGAGCGTTACTTGCCGTTGATGGAGTTTGCATATAATAACAGTTACCAGGCGAGTATTCAGATGGCTCCGTATGAGGCACTCTACGGCAGAAAGTGCCGAACCCCGATTTGTTGGACAGAGCTTAGCGAGCGTAAGCTTGAGGGACCAGATATTGTGCAGGAAACCGAGGAGAAGGTTTGTGTGATCAAAGACCGACTCCGTACTGCTTCGGACAGACAGAAATCTTATGCACACTTAAAGAGACGAGACATAGAGTACAATGTTGGTGACATGGTATTCTTGAAGGTTTCACCTTGGAAGAAGGTCCTACGGTTCGGGAAGAAAGGGAAGCTTAGCCCTAGATACATTGGACCCTACCGCATTTTGGAGCGAATAGGACCTGTTGCTTACAGGTTAGAGTTGCCACCATAGTTGAACAAGATTCACGACGTCTTTCATGTCTCCATGCTACGTAGATACCGTTCAGATCCGACTCATGTGTTGCCGACCAATGCTGTAACCCTCGACGAGAGTTTGTCTTACGAAGAAGAGTAGTTAAGATCTTGGCGCGCGAAACTAAAGTGTTAAGGAATAAGACGGTACCTTTAGTAAAGGTACTATGGCGTAATCATGCGGTGGAAGAAGCAACCTGGGAGACCGAAGAATCTATGCGAACTCAGTACCCTCATCTCTTCGGCGACCAATGACTCAGGTAATTTCGAGGACGAAATTCTTTTTAAGGGGGGAGAAATGTAACGCCCCGAAATCTGGCCCAAATAAATTAATTAAATTGTTAGAGGAATTGATTACGAATTGGGCCCAAAAAGGGGTTAAAATTATAATTTGGATTCTAAGCCCAACTTTTATGTCATCTCGTAGGAAATATTTTTGTGATCGCGTCGGTTCAGACGGCTCGCGAATCGGAGTTTTGGAGCTCATGTTATGACCATTTAATCAGGTATTTTGGGTCCGAAGCCCAATCCTTTTAGGAATGGGATCATTAAATAAAACCTAAACTATTTTCAGCCGCACGATCATTATCTTCTTTCTTCTTTCTTTCTTCTTCTTTCTTTCTTCTTCTTCTCCTTCTTTGTCTTCAATCACCGCCGGTCATCCCCGTTCGACCACGCCGGCGTCGCCCGAGCAAGACGCCGCTCATCGCCGGTCGCCCTTCTCCGCCAATCACTGCTGTTTCCTTCG